CTGGCATGCACATACACACTCAGGCTGACAGTCAATCACTCGGTCACTCACTCACTCACGCATGCACTCATGCATGCACTCTCACATACACTTACAAAGCCCACCTGAATGAAGAAAAGCCCATGCATGCTCGCTTACTCATTCACTCACTCACTCTTGCATGCACATACTTACTTGGGCACTCACTCACTCACTCACTCACTCACTCACTCACCCACTCACATAATAATGCATGCATGCTTTGTCGCATATACTTATTTACTCACTTACAAAGCCCACCTGAATGAAGAAAAGCCCATGCATGATTCCTCTCACTCGCTCACTCACCCACTCACTCACTCAGGCAAGCACTCACACAAGCATGCATGCATGCACTGTCCCATACACTTACTTACGCACACTTACAAAGACCAGTTGAATGAAGAGAAGCCAACAACTTCCTGGTTCCTTCTTTAGATTTTTGGTAGTCTTTTATACTAAACAGGTCATGACGATTTAAATACACATCTAATTGTATCCATGAAAGACACACCCTTACTAAGAACCCTTGAGAATAGGATCTCATTATCATGATCATATACCATAGCATCCTGATTGTCCCTTTGTGCTAAGAACAGCATGGGTGTGTCCTGGAGCTTATGGGAAAGTAGTTGCATTACAGTTGTCGTGACAACCATATTCCCTGGTGAAGATCATTGTATGATAAGGATAGTATTACACACTTAGCAGGGCTATACATAGAGTAAGTCAACTAAAGACATGCCAGATAAGTTTTTGTACTCAAAGCAGCAATTTCCATCTTTTCCTGACATTTGTTGAGTTTTTGATTTGATTTGTTTTTCAGAAGTAAACTGTTGTTCTAAATTGCGTATGATAATTAGTGTTGTATGGATAATATAATGTTACCATACATCCAGTGTCCATTCATGACATTTACAATATTGAAATAGTTATACATGTTCAGTTCTCATTATGAATGACTACAAGTTGTACCCCTATATATAACTGAGAACTGATGTACTTAAACTCATGTACTTAACTTTCTTTAATACATAAACATTCTTTTTGACCACAATTGACCGCATATACTGAATACCCAGGCTTCCTAACCACTTATTGTAAAATTGTAAATATCCAATCCATCATGTCCTTCAAACTTCAAACATCATTTTTTCCTTTCCTTTGGACAGTGTTGTTCATTTTGGATGCTAGAATATTTAGATTTAGTAATCTAAGTGAGATAGCATTGATAATGTGAAATATAGCAACATGGTTGTGTGCACAGATCACAGATGATGTGAAGTAAAGCAACATGGTCGTGTGCACAGATCACAGATGATGTGAAATAAAGCAACATGGTTGTGTGCACAGATCACAGATGATGTGAAATAAAGCAACATGGTTGTGTGCACAAATCACAGATGATGTGAAATAAAGCAACATGGTTGTGTGCACAGATCACAGATGATGTGAAATAAAGCAACATGGTTGTGTGCACAGATCACAGATGATGTGAAATAAAGCAACATGGTCGTGTGCACAGATCACAGATGATGTGAAATAAAGCAACATGGTTCGTGTGCACAGATCACAGATGATGTGAAATAAAGCAACATGGTTGTGTGCACAGATCACATGGATGTGTGCACAGATCACAGATGATGTGAAATAAAGCAACATGGTTGTGTGCACAGATCACAGATGATGTGAAATAAAGCAACATGGTTGTGTGCAGAAGATCACAGATGATGTGAAATAAAGCAACATGGTCGTGTGCACAGATCACAGATGATGTGAAATAAAGCAACATGGTCACAGAGTATAGAGGGATGGGAGGCCATATTCTCCAGCCTCAAGGTAACAAGGGTTCTTGCCCCGCTCTGAACCAGCTGTAGCACATACATAATTTCCACAGGCAAGTGACCTGTCTTGACCCTGCAATGAATGGGTACCCAGTAGGATGAGACAGTAACTGTTAACATTCCAGCATCTCTCAGGCAGCATGAGTTGTGTACTCCTCGGGGAGCTGAGAATGATAATCAAATGACCTGTCTTGACCCTGCAATGAATGGGTACCCAGTAGGATGAGACAGTAACTGTTAACATTCCAGCATCTCGCAGGCAGCATGAGTTGTATACTCCTTGGGAAGCTGAAAATGAAAATCAAGTGCACACTGCATGATTCAGGGTCTGGAATTGGTGCATGATAATTGTTATTGTTATTGATGTCATCAGTATCGATAGTTTGATCTGCTTGTTCTTATTGTAATTGTCATTTATGAGTTCTGAAAAGTATACTTCAAAAGTACAAGATTTGACACGTCAGTGATAGATCTATCACATTGTGTTAGGAATGGGAACTCAGTCATGTTGTGCATGATATTTATACACCTGTTGATATAATATATGTCACTGTTTCCTGGTTGAAAGTACAAAGGGTATGGAAACATGTATTTAGAGAGTTTTCCTGAACAGTAATATTTAGCAACACAATCCTTTCCTAAGCGATAACAAAGCTACAAATCAGATTGCGTCATGTTCTTGTTTGTCTGCTGTTTCCTCCACAGACCAAGTGCTTAGCGAAGTTGCAATGTATTGGATTATTCCTTTGTAACATGGTTCTTGACAGAATGTTTCAGGATATTTCTTCGATCGTTTCGTTATTTGTTGACTGAGTTGTGTCCGTTTGTGTCTGTATGGTCGGCTTGCTAGAGTGGTAAGTTCCCAGTTGTCATGAGTTCTCAATTTGGTTGTTTGTGCCAGTTCATAGAATGGTGGCTTTTATCTCGTCAGCGCACTTTATCAAATTTTCATATTGATAATCGTTGATAATTCTTCCCATTAATATTTCTGATTATCAAGTGTTCTTTGGCCAGCCCTGGTCAATTCATGTAAGGTTCTGCACGGACATTCCTTTTACATGGGTGTTGGAGTAGGAGAATGCTGATGAAAGTTTTGCTGTTTGTAAATAAGTGGCTTAAGAATAATTACCAGTAATGACTTGTGTCTGACGTGTCTAAAATATACGTTTTTCAGTTGCCTGTGTTTTTTAAACATTTTGAGCCCCTGTGCATCCAGAAGTGTAAACTGGTTAGAAATGGAGCTTTCAAATATCAAGTACTCAGTTACAACTACAAAACTGAAAAACATGTTTTTCTTCAATATCGATTATGTGTACACATGGTGAAGTGTTGACTGGGTTGAGACTTATTCTCATCCAAAGAATGAATGCATCATCAGTAGTTACGGTGTCTTCTGGACAAAACTAAACACTAGATACTGATTGTACATAAACTTCTTTATGATGACGAGGAGGAGGATTATCTGCTTGTAAAGCTCATAACTATGTACGCAATGTATGCTTGAAAGTCAGTGGATCAGTTTGCTCCTGATTGTTCATTCTCAGCTCCTTGTGGAGTATGCAACCTGTCTAATCCTACCAGGTACCCATTCATTGCTGGATGAAAAGAGTCATAATTCAAATGAAGTTACTTGCCTAAGGAGTCACATATCGTGCTACATGTAGTTCAATGTTGGATCGGACCGAAGGCCAAGAGATTCTCAAGAGCCAAGCGCAATCACCCATCTAGTCATGACCTGAGGACTCCCAGTGACCAGCGTTGCTACTCTGCCAGATCTGTGCCTGTGCCCTGAACACAGGGCAGCGCGCAACCAGTCTAATGACAGTTTCATTCAGTATGTTGTTAGATCTGTAATTATTTTTCCACACTCTGTAAATATAGAAATTGTAGGAGTCATATGTTGTATCCATGATTGTATGTAGAACAAGCACTAGCTGTAAGTGTACTTAGCGAGAGTGACAATAAATGGTTAATGCAATGTTAATAACCAGTCTATAGCTTGGGCACAATGTGTTAAGCCCATTTCTGGTGTCCCCCGCTGTGATATTGCTGGAATATTGCTAAAAGCGGCGTAAAACTAAACTCAGTCAGTCAGTCAGTCAGTCTATAGCTTATCAATAGATGTTACCCATGAGGGTAGAATGATCCTTCCATTATTTGCATATGTGCATTCTACTGATTTTCTGTGCCTGGCTATTGGTCTGTGCCTCTTTGTTTAGGTAGAATGTGATACATCAGCCTTTGTTCGTGACATCACAACTCGATCTGATCAACTTCATCTAAACAGTAGGCTGCCGTCAGTGAAATTTCACTTTAGGGTTGACATTTTATGAAATTTTATGAAATTTTCTCCCTTAAAATGTTATGGATTAATATACAGAATAATCAACACAAAAGATTGCAAATCATCAATCTGTTCCTCGTGACTGACTTCTGTTAGTACCTTTCCAAAGACTTGGGATTAACACTATTTGTCCACTCTGGACATATAATCTGTAGTTCCTTGTAGCTTGTGCTGAATGTCTATTTATTTGTAAGCATGCAAACATCCGTGTCTTCCATGCTGCCTGTGTTGTATAAACATGGTGAAGGTTCAGTAGAGGGTGTAGTTCCTTGTAGCTTGTGCTGAATGTCTATTTACTTGTAAGCATGCAAACATCCGTGTTTTCCATGCTGCCTGTGTTGTATAAACATGGTGAAGGTTCAGTTGAGGGTTCCACATGTTTCATTCAGGTTTTAGTATCCTGTTTGTTGTTGCCAAGTTCGTAGTCAGTGAGGAAATTGTCAGAGACGGCTCCCACCTGGCAACTGGAGATATGAATTAGATATAGTCTTGCTGGTCAAGTTGGTTGTTCACATAAACTTTGCACTACAGTAGATCGTATTATTGAATACATCTTTTAGAAAGTGGTCAAATGTAATGCATGTAATGATTACACTTCCTCAGTAAAGTGCAGATCCTAGTACTTTTGTTGGTACCAGCATTAGGTGCCTAACTGTGAGAGTGTGGGTTTGAATCCCAGATGGGCCTCAACCCAACAAAAGTACTAGAATCTGTACTTTGCTGAGAGAGTGTGATCTCATGACATGGTTTCCTGGCAGAAGCAGTATAATGAGAAACTCTATGTCTGTTGCCAGGGATCTATGCTGAAAGTTTCCGCAACTCTAAGTGGATACGAATTGATGAAGATGAAGAGATGGGTGACATGAAGTTTGCGACATTACCTGCACCGCGGAAGAAGCTGGTGAAGGGGGTGGTGGATGGAAGGTCAGCCAGTACTTCAGGTCAGTGGAAGGTTTCACACGATTAATGCATGCACTATCATGACCTAAGGCCTATCATATGATATGTGAGTGAGTAAGATTTTTACACTGCTTTTAGCAATATTCGTGCAATATCATAGTGGGGGACTCGAGCAATGGTTTTCACACATTGTACAGATGTGGAGAATCAAACCCATGTCTTCATGGAACACTTAAACCACAAGGCTGGCGCATTGCTGCATGATCAATGTACAGTCAATGTTGATGAAGGCTGATTGTGTTATTCAGATGACGTACAAGCTTTCACTTCATGATACAGCAGAAACAATATCTGAGTGAGTGAGTTTTTAAAGCTGCTTTTAGCAATATACCAGCAATATCGTGGCCAGGGACGCCAGAAATGGTCTTCACACATTGTACCCATGTGGGGAATCAAACCCATGTTCTCAGCATGACAAGCAAACACTTTAACCAATGGCCCATCAATATATAATCAATGTTGCTGAAGGCTGAAATATGTAGTTCTGATGATGTACAAGCAATGTTGCTGAAAGGTTGATTACATTGTATGGATGGTGTACTCTAGCCAGCAATGTTGCTGAAGGCTGGTAGTGTTCTTCTGAAGGTGTACTAGCAATGTTGCTGAAAGGTTGATTACATTGTATGGATGGCGTACTATAGTACTGTCGGAAATAGAAAAAAACTGCTTTTAGGCTGTTACTCTGTATCCCTAAAATTGACACAATTGCAAATATCATATGTCGAAATAACCCACTTCGGCCTAACTGGGCGTTCAGTGGGATGCGTAATACGATATCCAGAAAAGCATGTTTACTCGTAAAATTCGGCAAAACTTAGAAAAAATACGAATAGCTGCTGAAAACAATAGATCAGACTATAGATGGCAATTAGGTCGCTCAGCCAGGTATGACGACGGACCGTCGACTCACCTGGCATGAAATGCACGTGCTGCCTTCAGGCACAAGGGGTCATCTCAAAGATATTTTGTGCTTTTTCATGTGTGTTGACTATGTCTCATCTACTGATTAACATCTTACGTGTCTTTCTTTCATAAAGTTTATGTTGAGCTATGTAAGAGAGTATGATACCCGAAAACCATAGAAACGCATCATAGTATATAGGTGGCATGACCATTTGTAAATTGTTATGACGTGCCGTGTACCCCAGTATAATTGCCCTAAAGGATTATCTTATCTTAGCTGAAATAAATGAGAAAATACAGTTTTTTTCTATTTCCGACAGTACTATAGCTAGCAATGTTGCTGAAGGCTGGTAGTGTTCTTCTGAAGGTGTACTAGCAATGTGGCTGAAAGGTTGATTACATTGTATGGATGGCGTACTAGCTAGCAATGTTGCTGAAGGCTGGTAGTGTTCTTCTGAAGGTGTACTAGCAATGTTTGTGAAAGGTTGATTACATTGTATGGAGGTACTAGCTAGCAATGTGGCTGAAGGCTGGTAGGTTCTTCTTGTATTAGCAATGTGCTGAAAATGGATTACATTGTATGGATAGCTAGCAATGTTGCTGAAGGCTGGTAGTGTTCTTCTGAAGGTGTACTGGCAATGTTGCTGAAAGGTTGATTACATTGTATGGATGGCGTACTATAGTACTGTCGGAAATAGAAAAAAACTGCTTTTAGGCTGTTACTCTGTATCCCTAAAATTGACACAATTGCAAATATCATATGTCGAAATAACCCACTTCGGCCTAACTGGGCGTTCAGTGGGATGCGTAATACGATATCCAGAAAAGCATGTTTACTCGTAAAATTCGGCAAAACTTAGAAAAAATACGAATAGCTGCTGAAAACAATAGATCAGACTATAGATGGCAATTAGGTCGCTCAGCCAGGTATGACGACGGACCGTCGACTCACCTGGCATGAAATGCACGTGCTGCCTTCAGGCACAAGGGGTCATCTCAAAGATATTTTGTGCTTTTTCATGTGTGTTGACTATGTCTCATCTACTGATTAACATCTTACGTGTCTTTCTTTCATAAAGTTTATGTTGAGCTATGTAAGAGAGTATGATACCCGAAAACCATAGAAACGCATCATAGTATATAGGTGGCATGACCATTTGTAAATTGTTATGACGTGCCGTGTACCCCAGTATAATTGCCCTAAAGGATTATCTTATCTTAGCTGAAATAAATGAGAAAATACAGTTTTTTTCTATTTCCGACAGTACTATAGCTAGCAATGTTGCTGAAGGCTGGTAGTGTACTTCTGAAGGTGTACTAGCAATGTGGCTGAAAGGTTGATTGCATTGTATGGATGGCGTACTAGCTAGCAATGTTGCTGAAGGCTGGTAGTGTTCTTCTGAAGGTGTACTAGCAATGTGGCTGAAAGGTTGATTGCATTGTATGGATGGCGTACTAGCTAGCAATGTTGCTGAAGGCTGGTAGTGTTCTTCTGAAGGTGTACTAGCAATGTGGCTGAAAGGTTGATTACATTGTATGGATGGTGTACTAGCTAGCAATGTTGCTGAAGGCTGGTAGTGTTCTTCTGAAGGTGTACTAGCAATGTGGCTGAAAGGTTGATTACATTGTATGGATGGTGTACTAGCTAGCAATGTTGCTGAAGGCTGGTAGTGTTCTTCTGAAGGTGTACTAGCAATGTGGCTGAAAGGTTGATTACATTGTATGGATGGCATACTAGCTAGCAATGTTGCTGAAGGCTGGTAGTGTTCTTCTGAAGGTGTACTAGCAATGTGGCTGAAAGGTTGATTACATTGTATGGATGGTGTACTAGCTAGCAATGTTGCTGAAGGCTGGTAGTGTTCATCTGAAGGTGTACTAGCAATGTGACTGAAAGGTTGATTACATTGTATGGATGGCGTACTAGCTAGCAATGTTGCTGAAGGCTGGTAGTGTTCTTCTGAAGGTGTACTAGCAATGTGGCTGAAAGGTTGATTACATTGTATGGATGGCGTACTAGCTAGCAATGTTGCTGAAGGCTGGTAGTGTTCTTCTGAAGGTGTACTAGCAATGTGGCTGAAAGGTTGATTACATTGTATGGATGGCGTACTAGCTAGCAATGTTGCTGAAGGCTGGTAGTGTTCTTCTGAAGGTGTACTAGCAATGTGACTGAAAGGTTGATTACGTTGTATGGATGGTGTACTAGCTAGCAATGTTGCTGAAGGCTGGTAGTGTTCTTCTGAAGGTGTACTAGCAATGTGGCTGAAAAGGTTGATTACATTGTATGGATGGCATGTACTAGCTAGTAATGTTGCTGAAGGCTGGTAGTGTTCTTCTGAAGGTGTACTAGCAATGTGACTGAAAGGTTGATTACATTGTATGGATGGTGCTAGAACTAGCTAGCAATGTTGCTGAAGACTGGTAGTGTTCTTCTGAAGGTGTACTAGCAATGTGACTGAAAAGGTTGATTACATTGTATGGATGGTGTACTAGCTAGCAATGTTGCTGAAGACTGGTAGTGTTCTTCTGAAGGTGTACTAGCAATGTGGCTGAAAGGTTGATTACATTGTATGGATGGCATTACTAGCTAGCAATGTTGCTGAAGGCTGGTAGTGTTCTTCTGAAGGTGTACTAGCAATGTGGCTGAAAGGTACAGCCAGCGAAGGCGAAAGTAGGGATGATTACATTGTATGGATGGCATACTAGCTAGCAATGTTGCTGAAGGCTGGTAGTGTTCTTCTGAAGGTGTACTAGCAATGTGACTGAAAGGTTGATTACGTTGTATGGATGGTGTACTAGCTAGCAATGTTGCTGAAGGCTGGTAGTGTTTTCTGAAGGTGTACTAGCAATGTGGCTGAAAGGTTGATTACATTGTATGGATGGCGTACTAGCTAGCAATGTTGCTGAAGGCTGGTAGTGTTCTTCTGAAGGCGTAGTAGCAATGTGGCTGAAAGGTTGATTGCATTGTATGGATGGCGTACTAGCTAGCAATGTTGCTGAAGGCTGGTAGTGTTTTCTGAAGGTGTACTAGCAATGTGGCTGAAAGGTTGATTACATTGTATGGATGGCTCACAGAACCTTTCATTATGGGTGTTACTAGCTAGCAATGTTGCTGAAGGCTGGTAGTGTTCTTCTGATTACATTGTATGGATGTACTAGCTAGCAATGCTGAAGGCTGGAAAGGGTTGATTACTGAAAGGTTGATTGTATGGATGGTGTACTAGCTAGCAATGTTGCTGAAGGCTGGTAGTGTTTTCTGAAGGTGTACTAGCAATGGCTGAAAATTTCATTTTTGTTTGTTCAGATGATGTCTTCACTGAGGGCCACGGGTCTCCACCACTGGTGAGGTCACACAAGAGGTCAGACTCCTCCACAACCACATTATCAGAGTCGGAGTTCAAGCGTCAGTATACATCGCGGAGGAAGTGTCTGATCCAGCGCGATGACAGCCAGCAGGAGTATCACCGCTTGTCTCATCGCTTCTATGGTGGGTAGTACTGGGCTGCTTTGTTAATGGTATTTCGATATTAGGAAAACCGTGTCAACAATCTGTTACAACCTTTGAAATCAAAATTTCAATTTGTGGTAAATTCTTCTGAAAATGATAATTGCATCCATTTGTTCTGAATCATAGTATAGTGATGTGAAGGACTATCACATTAAGAGAAGAATGCTTTTGTTCTTCAGCATGACACGTTCTGTATTTTCTTCATTTTCCTGTATAAAACACTACAGTAGGCCATGAAGTAATAATCAGATTTTCATTCCCAGTGTCCTCATAGTATCTGCTGATCATGAATTAATTATTAGATTTCTCTCCCACCTGCATCACTGTGAAATGTACTGAAAGGCAAAAGAAACGTTGTAATATTGGAAATGATATTTAAGTATCAATGGAGTATATTTGAACCTATTTTTTTTTAAATATACACCTTAAGTCAAGTTTGAGGAAAACATGAATCGTGGTCGTATAGCCTGTTTTGCCCAATAAAGTATTGTTTGAGATTGAGTTTTGAAGTATTTTTGTTTGTGGAAAGGGAAGAGTTCTCACAAACACAACATTGAAATCGAGATGCATGTGCATAACGCATGCATTCAGGCATAAATTGCCGGCTTAAATGGAAATTGTTCACTTGTTTTCTGAAAACTGCAGCTACTATGGCTGGGTTAACGAGAGGTGTTGATGGACGATATGACGGTCCTGGCCGCAACGCATTGTTACACGGGGTCGACCACTTCATGGACGGTCATCAGTGCTGCTAGTGGCGTTGTATCGCTGTCTAAGACGTTCTATCACTCGTATGCTGCAATTGAAGTCATTAGCAATGACTAAAGCACGTTGACCAGCGTCTAGACGTCCAATGGCTTGTTGTCGTTGATCTCTCGTTAACCTAGCCATAGCTGCTCAATCTCAAACAATACTTTATTGCGCAATCAGTGTTCACGAATGGTGTTTCAAAGTAACAGGACATTGGGTCCTGTAAGTTTCAGATGTCTGACCCATTGAAAATTCAAAGGACCCATAGAATAAAATTAAACACACATTTCAGATTTAACATTTCTTATGATTGGCATTGAAATTATTTATAAACAGCAAACAAGTGTCACATGTCACATATAACCACTTCAGTCAAAGTCATTGTGAAACATACAGTCTGACACTGGTGCCGGTGGGTTGTAGACTTCTATCGGACAATTGGCGAATCTGCCGGATTTGTCAGAGGGTCAGACGCTATTCGTGAACACTGCGCAATACAGGCTATAGGACCACGATTCATGTTTTCCTCAAACTTGACTTCCAGTGTATATTTGAAAAAAATAGGTTCAAATACTCTATTGATACTTAAATGTCATTTCCACTATTATTTCTTTTGCCTTTCAATATAATATCTGTTGCTGATGGGTTTGAATTTCCCGATTGTTGTGATGATTCTGGGTCTGTCAGCACTGTACCCCAAGTTTGTGAGTGTCGACCAAGTGGTAAACAAAGTCTCCATTTTTGGACTTACCTGGCAGTCAATATTTCATTTAGTAACCAATACATTGGTGTCTGTTGCCAGCTGGGACCTTGTGTCTAAAGCTGACTTTGAGAACTACTTTTTGGTCAAGATTAAAAAGTTGATAACAGTAAAGAGATCCGGTAGTACAAAAACAACATGGATATAATATTCTTGGATTAGATTTTTAGTTTCACTTTATATTTGTGTACGATTCACTTCAGTGATATGAAGTAGGTAAGTCGAGTTTCCAGTCCCTGTTATTTTATATTGTGTTTGATTAGACTCTGTGTGTTTAAATTTCCTCTCAGGAGAATAGGATATTTTAGAAATTGTGTCAAATATCGTGTTAACATGGCACAGCAGCTATGCATGAGTGACATAGACAAGAATGGAAATATCATTTCAGCTTTGTCCTTCAACCAGATGAGATAAACATGTTGTATTACAAGGAAATTTAGTTTTTAATTTAGACTACTGAAGTACACCAGAAATCTTTTCTCCTACTGAAGGTTAAGCCGATTAGATTGCTCGTTTGATATGTAATAACTGTTGTGTAACTCCATGATTTGTCCTAGTTTCACTTGTAATGTTAGTGCAGGAAGTTGTATGTATGTGCAGTGTCTGAGATCAAATTTCAACACAATCTGCATTGTTCTCAATATGCCTTCTGGATTATGATTTTTTTGAAGATGATTGAATGATTTATTTTATAGCAACAGAAAACACATTTCACTGGTCCAGCATCAGAAACTCTTGTGACAGGTTCACATGAGTTGTAGTTTCGCATAAAACCCATTCAGACCTATTCAGAAGCACACAGTAGAGTTGTGACCCTTAGCTGTGCCAGGATCTTCTGCTCATGAGTTCAGTCTCAGATGTACAGTACAACCAGAAATTATTGAGAATGACAGGTGAACAGTTAGTATTTTGTCAAGTCACCATGGGCAGCAATGCGGCGGGGCATACTACTGATCAAAGAAGTTAGAAAGTCGTGGTCCATGCTGTCCCAATATCAGACTACCTCTTCTTTCATTTCAGCAATATTTTTGTCAGATTTTTCTTATTGACACTTTCCATCATATGTCCCCAAACATTTTCTGTTGGATTTAGGTCAGGGCTATAGCTTGGCCAATCTAATAATGTCATATTTTGGGTCCGAAACCAGGCTTGTGAATGCTTTGAACGATGTTTTGGGTCGTTGTCCTGCTGGTAAATAAAAAAAATTCCATAGAACACATGAGCAGATGGAAGTAAAGTTCCTCGAAAATTTCTGTGTACCGCTCACTGTTCATATTCCCTTCAAATTCACAGAGGGACGTTTGCCCCTAACACAGATATGCCACCCCACACGTTAAATTTCGAACTGTACTTTGGGCGCTGATACAAAGGTTTTTCAGTTTGTTTGGTCCAGAATTTCAGTGTATTAGGAAACAGCCACACAGAACTTTCATCTGCGAAAATCACATTGTCCCAGTTAAAATTTCTATGCTATAAGGACCAGTTCAACCTTCGCTCCTTTTGTTCAGGTTTCATGATCGGTGATGGAATTCCTCGACTTTTCTGCCAACCCATTGCATGCAGCTCAGTTCTAATTGTCTCCTTACAGACAGCCACAGTTCCTCTATCAATCATATCCAGCCTTAAGTTTTCTAAACTCCTTCGTTTGTTTTTAGAAACAAAAATACCAAGCCGCCTCCTGTCACCGACAGTCAATTTTCTGGGCCTACCTGCGCCTCCCTGGTGCTCAATCCCAGATAGCATTGATATGTTGGCCCATAGTTGGCCCATAATCATCGGTTTGGTTGGCCCATTGTTGTCAAACTGACGATGGGCCCACTTGGATATGCTCATCGGCTCCACAGTGGCCCATCATGTTGGCTCATTTTTGGGCCAACGAATGAAAATTCACACAAAACCATGGCCCATAGTTGGCCCAACGTAGTGATTTTGTTGGCCTTATGTTGGCACCACCGTGTTACAACATTTAGCTCTTTCTTGACCTTTGTACTAAACCATGGCCCATACTTGGCCCAACGATGTGACTTAATTGGCCTTATGTTGGCACAACTGTATTTCAACATTTACCTCTTTCCTGACCTCTGCAATCAGAAACATATCTAAACAACACAACAAGTTAATCAAGTGAACTATTTAATTCTTTCTTTCATTGTTATTTGAACATTATTGTATTTTTCTTGAAAATATTCTTTTTTGAGGTCTTTTGGCTGTCGTCGCTGACAGTTTTTTTCAAACTGCTCCTGAAAAAAACAACCCAAAATTTTCATGAAACTGTCAGATATCTAACGTAAAAGGACATAGTATTTGACCTTATGTTTTATTTGAAACATACATATACAACTTAATGATTGAAAACTTCTTGTTTATTGCACAGAGTGAAGTTCGGATGTAGATGAGATGATGAGAAGTATATACGGTGGAAACCGCCTAAGTAAAAACCGCTTAACTAAACAGACCTGATAAGTAAACACTTTTCTTTGGTCCCGGCAAATTTCTTCATTAATTATCACTATTAGAGTCTGGTTAACTAAACTCGGATAAGTAAACAATACCGCTTAACTAAACGTCTTCTCACGGTCCCTGGAAGTAAATTACATAACAAAGAGACTGGATAACTAAATTAGCGATCACCACATAATCCGACATGAGGGGCAGTCGTGTCAGTCTCCAGTCAAACAAACATCCTACTTACAGCTCGCTGGCGTCAAGCAGTTGACAATACACTGACAACTGGAGGCCCGCCCTGATAAGTTGTTCATTGTTACATATGTATGCATATACATGCATATGGTTGTCATTTGCAGGTTTTTATAAATTTGGATAAGTAAAATACCTGATAAGTAAACAATTTTGGCGAGTCCCTTGAAATTTTACTTATCAGGTTTCCACTGTATGCGTAGTATGTTTTGACAATCAGCAGATTGACATTAACAACATGTAATTGAATAACAACTGGTACATTATTGGGAGAGGCCAGATGGGGACTAAGAACAACAAATGGAATGGTGATGAAGCCAATACCGACTGAGTTTAGTTTTACACCGCTTTTAGCAATATTCCAGCAATATCACGGCGGGGGACACCCATGCGGGGAATCGAACCCGGGTCTTCGGCGGGACGAGCCAACGCTTTATCCACTAGGCTACCCCACCGCCCCCGATGAAGCCAATAAACAAGGGGGGATTCAGTTGTAACAACAAGCTGATAGGGTGCTTTGATAGAGTCTATAGTTTGATTAGTTCTTCATTGGTCTGTCGTTTTCATGTGACTGCAAAATTTCGTTTTGTTGCAATTATTAGATTTTGTGTTAGTGAGCAATTCATTGGTCTCAAATGAAATCAAACAGACTATGAGTTGGTGGGTTAGGTGGTTCCGCTCATGTTCTAGGTCATGGCTGCTGGAGCAATGTTCTTAGCGTGCTTGATCAGGGTTGAGATGACGCCACACTTAGTTTTAGGGGGCTGGTTTGACAAATTCGAAATCTTATCCACCAAGAATCAGGACTTCACAAAAAGAAAACTTTTGGAAGCCATCAAAATCAGCTGCCACAAACCTTTGATCAATAGAGACCAAGGATACTACATACCATTGGGATATGAAGAACTAATCAAACTATAGACTCTATCTAATCGCCCTATCAGGTTGTTACAACCTAACACCCCACCCCCCTTCCCCTCCCTTGTTAATTAGTTTCATCACTAGATCCATTTGTTGTTCTTAGTCCCCAACTGGCTGCTCCCAATTATGTTTATTTGACAAAACATACTATGTACATGTATATATACTTCTCATCATTTGGTTGTAGTCACTTTTAGCTTGATAACGATGTAAGAATCTACATCGAAACATCGCTCTATACAATAAACAAGAAGTTGTCATCCATAGAGTTGTATGTTTCATTTTTGACTCACCAACTTCTAGAATGCTGTTCAAACAATGTTTTATTTAATTACTATAACTGTGACACATATATCTGATATGATGATGTTTAGCAATTATTGCTTGTAAAGATGAATAATAGAGAGAGTTGTATATGGAAACAGGAGTGTAACTGACAAACACATAATGTTAATAAAGTAAACACAATAAATTTAAATAATTTAAAATGAAATGAGATTTATCAAAGTGGTTAAAACAGGCTACCTAAAGAAAAGAGTCAATTAAATCTTTTATCTACTCAATCAATTGCCTTTCAATACGGTATGTGTCAGTTTCTTTAGCCTAAATGATGATTTTAATTAATTATTTAACCATATATTCGCAATTCAGCATCACATAAATAACAATGCATATTTACCAGTTGAAGGCCTCCAGAAATGTAGTGTCGTCTGCTCTTTGAATATCAGGTAAAGCTATCAATGATGACAAGTTTGGTATTCAATTTGGAGAAAACAACGCTGTAATATTCACTGCATCATAGTTAAAAAACAGGGAAATGGATTCTTTTTTTTGTCTGTGTAATTATTTCAACTTTCATCAAAATCTTTATAAGAAAACATTGCTCAAAATGGCCGTGTGCTCACTCTTTTATTCACAATGTTGGGCCAACGGTGGCCCAACTTTGTGAAATAGATGTAAGATCAGGGAACATAGGCAGAGTTTTTCAAATGTTGGCCCACTGTTGGACCTACGTGTCAAAAGCCACCATTACTTTTAAGTCATTAAGATAACGTTGCGCCAATGTTGTCAAACTGTTGGCCAACCAACCAACCATATACCAACATTGGCCCAACACACATTTGCTATCTGGGATGCTATATCCATTTGCAATATTTTTCAAAACACGATAAACAGTGGACAAAGGGATGCCTGTTCTACTTGAAATCACTTTAGCTATTCTGATGTCCTTGTTATAATACTCTAATATCAACTTCCTCTTCTCTAAATCATCCATACTGAGGATCACTGAAAATGTCGTCTGCTAGCAAGTAAACAAAGGGGGATAACTCTTCACGAACTAATGAAAAAGGATTAACGGAGTTGTCTCTCTTGAATGAAACCAAGCACTTGATAGCTGGTCAAGGTTGTTTATACTAGAAATCAAATTAAACATATTCCTAACATTCTCAATAATTTCTGGTCATACTATAAGTGATGATGATCAGCATGGTGTCTGTGGGTTTCTCCAGAGAGGTATATGTCTGAGTTAATGACCTATCAACACTGTTGGCCTACCTTCAACATTATGCTGACACACTGTGCTGCTGTTCAGATCCTGGGTTTGAATCCAGGATAGCCATGAGCGTGTTTCTGGGTTTGTCAGAACCATACCATTCTCCTGTGTTTCACCAGTGTAATAAAGGTCTAAGGCATGCATCACTTTAGCATTTCCACACCACCTAGAGGTGACACAGTGTTATAACAGGGATACTGTTTAAAGGGCACTTACCCATTTTAGTGCCCTGTTAATCCAGCTTGCTCATTCTCTGAAGTAGGAGTAATTACCTTTTAGACTTTTTTTTTTGCTTGATAACAAGGTTTCCCATAGCAATGATGTCACCTCAAACAGTTACGTTTCATTCATCTTCATAATTATTCAATACGGTACACATTTAGTTAAAGGTCACATGCAACGTAAAACACAACTTTGCAGATTCTGATACCTTTCGGTATGGACATACCGAAACAAATCGTCAAAAATTCAAATTCAACTTATAAAGTTGAAAAATAACGCGATGAAAAAAAACGCGCGAAATCGGAGTTTAAACGTTTCACTAATTTTCCCCAGACTTTTCTGGGGAAAATGGGTTTCAACAGCTGGGCTGCGCTCATAGCACGTGCGCAAGTAAATAGGTTCGCGCAGCTTGGAAGCGGGTTGTCGGGTGAATACTCGGTGAAGGCTTTGGTGTGAGCTATTTTTCTAATGTTTTGTTGATATCTCACAGGCGCGAGCTTTTTATATGTTATGACAGTAAATTAACTGTTTATATAATTTCATTTGTCTATTTCACCACACGTTCTTCTTACCGAGACACTTTCTCAGTTCGATACTTAAAAGCAATGTCATTATTTAGCGTTGACACAATTTCTAACTGTGATATAGATATGTCGTTGTCACAGACAAAACCCAATGTCTTGTTTTATTGACACCTGTGTGTCTGCCTGCCTGTCTGCTAATGACAACATTCAATACACAACTGCTATCACTGACCACATGCAATTTGAACTTAACACCAATCAGGCTATACACCATAAACAAAATGCATTGATTTATGGCCCGAGTTCGGTCTCTGTCACATTATGTAATTACACAGACAGGCAGGTGTGATACTTGAACACATGACATGTTATGATGTCTGTTGATTGCAAAATGTTATACACCAAAAATGAGCATGTATTTACAAAACCCAACATCTCTATATATATATACACACAATTAAGGCATCTGCAAATGAAACAGCCGTTACACTTGAGTGCACACTCACCCTCTCTGACTGGGTTCGGTATCCCGGCTGCTTCGTTTCTTGGGAAGTAAACCGAAGTACACAATTTTGCACTTTTGATTTGCGATTGTACGCTTATAATTTTGTTTATATATTTTTTCGTAACCAGCAATGTATATTATATGTCATGAATAAGTGATAATTGTGTTTTAATTATGTTTGATTTTTTGGTTGCATGTGACCTTTAAGTTTTCACACTGAAACAAGTACATGGTTGTCATTCCAGATCAAGAGAAAGTGGTCATTATTGAAAAACAGGATTCTGAGAGCGGACAAGATTTTGGTCTTCACATCCTGGACTGTCAGCCAGCCTACATCACGTCCATCGACCCAGGTTGGTTTCCTTGTCTTTCCCATCTCATGTTACCTTCTGTCATTACTTGCAAACCTGTTTACCAGTGTTGTGTATTGTCTACAGCACATGTCTCATACTCACAGGCAGAGATCAGAGGTGCACAGGGGGTGTATAAAATGTGCACAGCTTGCTCACATGCAGATATCAGAGGTGCACAGGGGGTGTATTATATGTGCACAGCATACTCACAGGCAGATATCAGAGGTGCACAGGGGGTGTATAATATGTGCACAGCTTGCTCACATGCAGATATCAGAGGTGCACAGGGGGTGTATTATATGTGCACAGCATACTCACAGGCAGATATCAGAGGTGCACTGGAGGTGCAAATATGTGCACAGCATACTCACAGGCAGATATCAGAGGTGCACAGGGGGTGTATAATATGTGCACAGCATGCTCACAGGCAGATATCAGAGGTGCACAGGGGGTGTATAAAATGTGCACAGCATACTCACAGGCAGATATCAGAGGTGCACAGGGGTGTATAATATGCACACATGTGCTCACAGGCAGATATCAGAGGTGCACAGGGGTGTATAATATGTGCACAGCATATCACAGGCAGATATCAGAGGTGCACAGGGGTGCATAATATGTGCACAGCATACTCACAGGCAGATATCAGAGGTGCACAGGAGGGTATAATATGTGCACAGCATGCTCACAGGCAGATATCAGAGGTGCACAGGGGGTGTATAATATGTGCACAGCATACTCACATGCAGATATCAGAGGTGCACAGGGGGTGTATAATATGTGCACAGCATACTCACAGGCAGATATCAGAGGTGCACAGGGGGTGTATAATATGTGCACAGCATACTCACAGGCAGATATCAGAGGTGCACAGGAGGTGCATAATATGTGCACAGCTTGCTCACATGCAGATATCAGAGGTGCACAGGGGTGTATAATATGTGCACAGCATGCTCACAGGCAGATATCAGAGGTGCACAGGGGGTGTATAATATGTGCACAGCTTGCTCACATGCAGATATCAGAGGTGCACAGGGGGTGTATAATATGTGCACAGCATACTCACATGCAGATATCAGAGGTGCACTGGAGGTGCAAATATGTGCACAGCATACTCACAGGCAGATATCAGAGGTGCACAGGGGGTGTATAGTATGTGCACAGCATACTCACATGCAGATATCAGAGGTGCACAGGGGGTGTATAATATGTGCACAGCATACTCACAGGCAGATATCAGAGGTGCACAGGGGGTGTATAATATGTGCACAGCATACTCACAGGCAGATATCAGAGGTGCACAGGGGGTGTATAATATGTGCACAGCATACTCACAGGCAGATATCAGAGGTGCACAGGGGGTGTATAATATGTGCACAGCATACTCACAGGCAGATATCAGAGGTGCACAGGGGGTGTATAATATGTGCACAGCGTACTCACAGGCAGATTCAGGGAAGCACAAGAGGTTCCAAATATGTGCATAGCATGCTCACGGGCAGACTGGTCAGAGGTGTACAGGATAATATGTTAGTCATATTATGACCTGTATCACTCAGACAGCAGGAACATTTCCACTGTGTGTGGTCCAGTATTTTGTAAAGAGTGAGTGACTGAATGGAGATGTTTATGCATCAGCAAGCTGTGAGCCCCAGTCTGTCTGCACCTAGACATGTACCACCATCAGAAGTAGCGCAGTATAAGGAAAGTATATAAAGATCCAGTCACTTTATACCTAGCTCTGAATCTTTTGTCTAATGAATGTGACCTAGTTGTTCACTGTAACGTAATGCAATGTGCCAACCCCAAATTCTTTATAAAGGAGGTAATGCAACCACCAGTGTCATTACCTGCTACCCAGCAATCTCACCTGCCTAAAGTATATGATACTTTAAGTGTCAAGTGTACACTTGTGAGGGACGTTTTATCATAATGACTCTGCACCAGTTTGTCAACAAGGGGCGGTGGGGTAACCTAATGGTTAAAGCGTTGGCTCGTCACGCCGAATACCCGGGTTCGAATCCCCACATGGGCACAATGTGTGAAGCCCATTTCTGGTGTCCCCCGCCGTGATGTTGCTGGAATATTGCTAAAAGCAGCGTAAAACCAAACTCAGTCAGTCAGTTTGTCAACAATGTTCTGGGAGGTTTTTGAGTGGTTTAAGAGAGTCAAGAGCTGTGTATAATAGTGGTGGTCTTAAAGACACCAAGAAATTTATGTTCCTAACATACTAGTCATCCTTTAAAGATGTGATATTTAGCCAAAACACCCAAAAATAACTTAATGGTTTTTCCTTATTAATTTGTGCATTAACAAATTTCATAAATGACGCTAACCAATTATTTTCTATGATTGATCGGTGGTAATGAACTAATCATCAATTATGAGATTTTAACCAATTCCCAACACTAGTGTATAAGGAAGTAAATATTTTACTTTTCCCCAAGTCAACACTGTTTCATTAGTTTTGGGTCAATGGAATTGAGAGCAAAGACACTGTCAAGATAGAAAAACATGAATTTCTTTTTCATTTGCCTTCAGTGGATTATAAGAATATAGGTATGCAACTACAAAATTGATCCAAAGTTTAAAGTGAACTATTTTGTAAACAATATACTTCTAAATGTCACCTTGTGTTATGTTTGTATGTATAAAATATTGACTTAATGATTTTTGCATGAATTTTGAGGCTGTATCTGTATATTTGTGTAATATGGGTAAATGATACATCATTTATAATGTACAATACATTTTAAGTTTGTCATTGAAAAAATGATAAACATTCTGCAATATAAACACTATTTGTTTGTTTGCTCGTTCGTTCGTTTATTCATAAAGGACTGACCAACTCATATTTATAATGTGGTTTTTTAGCAAATATTTGAAAACAATCAAATAAACTGAGTCAGGCCAAAAGAAGTAAGGTTTAGATTTATAATTTAACACTGGTATTAATTTAGTAATATTAATTTATCAGAAGAGCTAGAATGCCATCTTTTTTATCAGTGAGCCAACATCAGTCTGATGTTTGATCGAGATTTTCTTAAGTCAAGTAAGATCGATGCTCATGCTGTTGATCACTGGATTGTCTGGTCCAGACTCGATTATTTACAGACTGCCGACATATAGCTAGCATATTGCTGAGTGCGGCGTAAAACTAAACTCACTCACTCACTCACTTAAGTCAAGTAAACAAACCCAACTCAGACACACTTGGTTGCTGTGTTAATGATATATCTATTCTATTAATTATTTATTTTCGTTTGTGAACGAGTTGCAGATACTCCAAATGAGTATTGATCCTGGTGGTTACTGGGTGTAGAAGAGTGGTTCTTCATTTGTAATAACACACTGACATGTTTCATACAGGAAGCCCAGCAGAAAGGTCAGGGGTTAAAGAGGGTCAGATTCTTATCTCGGTCAATGGCGTCAACGTCCTTGAGGCCTCGCATGATGAGATCGTCAAACTCATGCAACAAAGTAGGTAGAAACCAGCATTATCATTATTGATGTACCAAGTTGGTCATGCGTTGTATAGATCCCATTGTCACTTTTAGATCAAATTGTTCACTCTGATTCAATGTCATCTGTGGCAAGATCTGACAAGCCCTTTATTGAAGGTTGCGTCAGATGAATCCCTGTTGTGGGCTTCAGCAATCACTTTGGGCTTTCATTCCACAAATACTGTCCTCAAGTTCTCAAATACTGTCCCAATGAATGTCTAACAACTGAATGAACAGTTGAACACTGTTTCATCCTGACGAGGCAGAGTGTTAGCCTAGTGGCTAGAGTGCTCACTCACTGTGCCAAAAACCTGTTTTTGACTCTCAAAATGGGTACAATGTGTTAAGCCCATTTCTGGTGTTATATTGCTTGAACAATGCCAGATGTGAAAGCCATACTCACTCATCCTCTCGTTCTGACAAAAACACAAAGCCTCACTGATTTTTTGAAGATTGTTGGTTTGACCAGTCCAAAATGAAGTATCTGTTTCTGTCCCAGACCCGGCCATCATCAAGCTGGAGGTGGCCTACAGTGACTTCCAGCCTGTCAGAGACCTACAGGCCAGTGTCATGTCGGCTGTATGTACAAGCTGGGCAATTCCGCTCTCATGAAGACGTGGAAGAAGCGTTTTTTTGTCCTACGTCAAGACAACTGTCTTTACTATTATAAAAATGAGCAGGTTAGTTTCAAATACAGATTTACATGGAATTCTTAAATGTAACATAAAATATGGTAGCTATATTGTTAATGTTGTCTGTGCAATGAAAAAGAAACATTTGAGGAGGAAATCAGTGTATGACTAGTATTTATTGTACATCAATAAAGAGACCACACTTTTAAAAAGTCAGGTCACTGGTGCTGTTAAGCCATAATCACCTGGCTAGGCAACACTTTGTAGGCAGTTCTTTAGTTGGTTTATGAAGCTGCCAACTCAGAAAAATTGAAATCAGAAGGGAAAAAAAAGGGGGAGGTTTGGTTAATTAATTCTGCCAACCACATATCTGTTAAAATACAAAGCTCAGTTACTGTTATAATACCTAACCCTAAATACCCTAAACATATCATAGAAACTTCTAAAGATGGTTGATTATTACAAGGGGAGGTAACTCAGCTCATTTGTTTCGTTTTTGCCTTCCGTCCATACTCCTGCTATTTGCCCTTGCCTTCTTCATGAATATTAAAATATTTGTGATTAAAATGTTTAATTCACATGTTTGGTCAACTTACTGACCTGAACTTTGCCTGGGGCTGAAAATAAGTAACCTTCCATCCAACCTGACAAATAGGGCCTAATAGATTTACAAGTTTCTGGATTATATCATATGACAAAAAAAACAATAGTTATGTCTCATGGATCATACAGCCACATTAATAACAGTTATAAATTGTCCTGAGTTTTAGTACTGACCCCTTACCTTCGTGTGCTGGTCATAATAGGTAACTAAGTGGATTGGGTGGTCAGGCTAACTGTCTCGGTTACTGTGTCATCATTCCAGTTTTGTGGATTGGTTCTTGTAATATCAGACCGCCTCCGTGGTGTAGTGGTTAGAGCGTCCACCAGGAGAGCAGAAGGTCGCGGGTTCGATCCCCGACCGCGTCATACCAAAAGACGTTAAAATATAGCAGCGATGTCGGGCTCCTTGGCTTTGATACAATCTAGCCACTTGTACCTGTGATGTAGATGTTGAAAGTAGTAATGGCTACATTTAATAGGGATCATATCACTGCCAGTAACGGGAAAATGCGTCATTCGTTAACTAATGTCTTGAATAGTTATGGTCCAGGGTTAGATACAAAGGATTGTGTAGTATGGTTTGGATGATGACACCTGTGGCTTTGGAAAGTGACTACAACCAAATGATGAGAATTGTTCACTGTGATTCACATTATATGGATCAAAACATAAGTCTATCTCAAACAACAAAACAAACGTTTCCAGGCATGATATCTCAGTGGGCTAGCACTATAACACCAGCATAAATCTGGGCTAGTACAAGCAGCCGCACATACACATACACACGCATGCACGTCGTCATATGAGTGAAATATTCTCGAGCACGATGTTAAACCCAATTTCACCTCACCTCATAATATCACCCAAACATCTGGGTTAGAATTGGTCTTCAGCAACCCATGCTTGTCATGAGAGGCGACTAACGGGATCGGGTGGTCAGGCTCGCTGACTTGGTTGGCACATGTCATTGTTATCCCAAATTCGTAGATTGATAATCATCCTGTTGATCACTGGATTGTCTGGTTAAGACTTGATTATTTAACAGACCACTGCCATATAGCTGGAATACTGCTGGGTGTTTTGTAAAAATACACTCACTCATAATGTAAAACGGGATTGTCTGGTCCGGTCCCAATTATTTACAGACCACAGTCACATAGCTTGATTATCTCAACATTCAACAACACACAACTTGACAAGCAAACAAACTGTACCGTTGGATGCATAGTTTCTGTACAGAGTCATCTGCTTCTTGATGTGTACCAACTCAGCCGATCTGCTTGTCGTTCTAGGAGCAGATTCCCCTTGGAGCTGTCCCCATGGCAGGCTACAGCATCTCTCGCTACATTGACACCAACAAGGACTTCTGCTTCAAAGCGGACAAGTATGGTGCGCGGTCGTACTACTTCATGACCGACAGCAGGGATGAGATGACACAGTATGTGATGATATACTGATGCATAAGACAATTGTATAAGGAACACTTTATGTGTCTCGAAGAAAGTTAAAACGAGAGGAAGATTCAAATTGTTCTATTGTTAAAGGAGAAAACTCAATATCAATGTTCTCTTTATTTCAGGTGGGTGGGCAAGATGACTGAAGCGTCTGCTAGGTCAAAGAAGAGGGTAAGAGGTCCTTATAACCATATTAACCATAGTATAATAAGGGAAAGATTATGGATTATTATTATTTTAAAAAGTTTTGGTTTAAGCAAAATGGGTCATGAGAATTATTTAGTCACCAGCTTGAACATCTGGATTGTTATGTTAATGTTTGGTCTTCGGAACGCTTATGATGACCACTTCCAGATTGGTCTGGTAGTTGGTCATGGGGCACTTAGTGGATCATGGCAGTTAGTATGGCTAATAAGGTAAACTAAGAAGTGCAAGAGGCCTAGCTTTACATTGTGACAGCAAGTTTCAAACCCTGTAAGATGTTCTCAACAGTGCTGTCAGGAGCAGCCTTGTTCTAACTTGTAGTTCTGTCGAAGTAGGGATTAAAGCCTTGATCATTTGACCACTTGACTATTTTGAAAACATTGTTAACTCTCTAATCCACTTATCTTTGTGTACAGAAGGACTCGTGGCTTGATGTGAGTAGCCACAACGTTGGTCTGCCGGCCCTGGAGATCCGTCGCCCAGAGTCTACTGGCTACCTGACCAAGATGGGGCGACAGAGGAAGGTGTGGAAGAAGCGTTACTGTGTGCTGAAGGATGCCTGCATCTACTACTATAAGCTAATGTCGTCCCATAGTGCACAGGGTGAGTAGACTGTCTTCATCTGCTACTATAAGCTTATGTCGTCCCATAGTGCACAGGGTGAGTAGACAGGGTGAGTGAGTAGACTGTCTTCATCTGCTACTATAAGGTGAGTAGACTGTCTTCATCTGCTACTATAAGTTGTGCACAGGGTGAGTAGACTGTCCCATTTTGCACAGGGTGAGTTAGACTGTATGCATCTTCTCAAGTTAAATTGATGCAGGTCCAAATAAACCTGAGTGTGTCTTCATCTGCTTCTTAGATCAGTGCCAATGACCAGCAGTCTTCATCTGCTACTATAAAGCCAGTCCCATAGGCACAGGGTGAGTTGTCTCTAAGATGCATATTGTCTTCATCTGTACTATAAATGTTGGAGAGTTGGAATGCATCTTCTCAAGTTAAATTGATGCAGGTCCAAATAAACCAAGTGTAATCTAAAAAGTCTGGAAGCCAGTTTGGCCATGTGCAAGAGCATATTGTGTACCAAGGGAGATAACCTTTGACAAGGTAATCAGTGAGATTAACATGAGTTTGATGACATTTCTGGATATATTTAGTAATTGCATGAATCAAAAAGATATTTCTATATATTTTTTCAGGCGTGGCTCATCTCCATGGTTACACAGTAGACGTGAATGGCCTTCCTGGAAGGCGATACAGCTTTGTGCTCAAACCACCAGAACAAGGAATGAGGACATTTTATTTCTGTGCTGAGAATGAAACAGACAAGGCACGGTGGGTATTTGTTATGTTCTGTTCTGTAGACATACTAAACTGTTGCTCATACTGTCGACCACTAGTTTGCCTTACAAAACTCCAGTTATTTTCTAGGCCCTCTGCAATAGCTGGGCAAATGTAACCTGGTGTGTTTATCTATTCACTGTTTGGATTAAGACTCACTCCATGGGTTGCACACTTAACATGAAGAAGCAATTCAGGTGTTGAAAAACCTAGTATTGTTGATTTGAACTTATTATGTAAAATAGAACTTTGGCAAAATTGAAAAAAGTCTTCATCTTAAGCATATATAATTAATCAAAACACTTCCTATTTTCATTTTTACAAATGTTTGGATAATACATTTCACCATTTTATCTGGGTTCATCCTTTAATGTTTGGTGGTATTCAGGTGGGTGGAATCAATGAAGCGTTCTATCCAGCGATGGGTGAAGGTGGACAGCAAATGAGGATATCAGATTACCCCAGCCTTCAAGGAAACAGGATCACTAAAGGATCAATGTTGACATTAAAGTCAGCCATATACTGTATACCATGTTCAAGAGAGACAACCTCAGTCATCCCGAAACACATCAAACTTAAGATACCTGCTGTATATCCTTGCAGTAGATACCCACTGTTGATACCTGATACTTCAACTGGTCAGTACACCAACATGGCCGACTCAGACACTCTTTATTTATTCAGTGCATTATGTTGTACCAGTACATAGGTTAATCAATGAGATTCTCACTGATTGTTTCTCTTGCTTCCTGTGTGAGAAGACTTTGGTATCCCATGAACATCGGACAGTGGTTCTGATGGCTGGAACTGAATTGAAACTGTCACTGTTTATCTTGAAGGTAGAGGCTGATTGGTCACTGAAGCTTATAAACAGTGCTGTATATATTAGTGCTAGGTCCGTGATATTTTGTTTCTAGTGATCGACATATTATCCTATACTACCACCTTGATGGATGGTTTCAAGTATTGGAAATTATGTCACAGTTCTGATACTTACGACGGTATACTTTGCATATATGTCCTTGTGTCAAAAACCACAGCCAAAGTCATCATGGACCCTTGTATTTCTTATTTAATTTTCATTTATTGTGATAAAATTTTGTATATGAGTGTATGTATATTTACATTAGCATTTACAAACTCTGACATATCCTTTCATCAGTTATTAGGCAATAAATATCACGTTTTTATTTAGGAGATACTTCGATATTAACATCAAGATGTCTAGTATGTAAGTGTTTCTAAATATTTCAAAGAATGACATAAAATGTATAATGAACTCTAGCGATTTGAAACAACATAATGTGTATATACATCTCACAAATCTGAACCCACTATTTGATCTTAGTGCCACGATGACTGTAACTCTCATATGTTCTATATTTGCAGCATAAGATCATTTTCTGTTACCGTTTCCTCACCAGGTGCACATTCCACAAAGAAATCTTAGCACTAAGATCAACACTGGCTTATGTCAGTTTAGTATTAAAATCAGTTTGTGGAATGGGTCTAGATTTTGAAGTTGTACAGATGCTTTACAGAATAGACTTGTTTCCTGCAGCAAGTTTGTTCTCAGGAATGTCTGGAAGTAACACCAGATCTTCGGGTTGATATCTCCGACTGTGCGATCACATCTAGTTTCAGAAGATTGGATCACCATGATCAGATGCACTATCGAAGCCTGTTCTGTGTTGTGTTTGGAGGAAGTCAAGACCACTGAGTGATGTTTATCAAACTTTGTTTCATCATCTGTCATCAATGTATTTATAATACATATTTAAGCAGTTATAGGTCAGTAGTATTTTATTCAAAACCAATATGTTTCTATTTTGACATTGTATATGTGCATCTCATAACTTGGTCATCACCCAGATGGTCATCTCTACTGGGGGAGCTGAATGAACTTCACTTGTCAACATTCACACTATGGCACCAAACTCACAGTGTCAAGGTCATCAAATCATTTAGACTTTTATGCCAAAATGTAAAGCGTTTATACTTGTATTAAGAATAGTAGACAAAAGCTTATGTGATTAATGGACAAATACTGTATTGAGGTTGAAACAGGTAAACCCATATTTAAGAACATGTCTTTTATACAAGGAATATTTAATGATATCTGTCAGTTGAGGTCTCACATATTCTCAGTAAAGTCTGAGGGGCGGTGGGGTAGCCTAGTGGTTAAAGCGTTCGATCGTCACACTGAAGACTCGGGTTTGATTCCCCACATTGGTACAATGTGTGAAGCCCATTTCTGGTGTCCCCCACCATGATATTGCTGGAATATTGCTAAAAGCGGCGTAAAACCCATCTCACTCAGTAATGTCTGATCTTTAGTGCTAAAATGTAAGTAAATATGCTGTACTACACATTTTAACTTCAGACCTCACAGATATTGTAAGGTTACACGATAGTTATATAGACCATTTGTCTCATTCATGTAGTCCCAGGAATGTCTGTAGATCTACTGTGGCGTGTTACACAAAGACACCCTAGTGCAATGACTCTCTGGTATCATAGGCAGTGTTAAAGTATGGGGATTTCCTTAGCCCTAAGATCTTTTTATGGAACAACTCCAATATCTACTTCAGTGTAGATTGTCTGGAGCGATTTTCCCCTTGTCTATGAACAAAACTTCCATTAAGGTGAACAATGTTTTCATTTGACTTAAATGTACAAAATGGAAATGTATTATTGGTTATTCCAGTGACTGTTCAGACCTTACCTTGAATATATACAAGTTGTTGTGAAGTAACTGGAATATATGGATGTGAGTGTAACCATAGTAACTGAAAAGAATGAACAGTATTTCCCACCCTTTCTTGCGTCAGTATGAGATTCTGCTTGGGGTATTGTGAAAGTGTTAGGGATGTACCATCCGTATGTGATGTGGCTGAGTAAATATGCAAATTACTGTGTGTTGCTGCCAAAGAATATGGTTGTGCTCTCATATTTTCATGCTTGAATATACTCAAAAAATAATATATTTAGTTTTATATTATAAGTTTCTATATCAAAATATCTTGGTCAAACCAAAAATGTATTTTATTTGCTATATAAATCATACATTCCTATTTCTACTTATCAAACCCTATTAACTTTGTTTTATATTTATCAATGGAAGTGAAATTATATGTGCTTAATCAGATCCCGATCATTTCCAGACACACATGCAAGGTCTCAAAAATATTTTATGTATTTGAGTGTAACACCAAAAATAGGTATTACGGTATACATCACAGTATATATATTGAGATGTACTTAGTGTACATGAATTTGTAGTGTACTGGAGAGGAGAAATACCTGTGTGACCTGTGATGAGAAGAGAATCACGTGAATCTGAAATGGTTGTGAGATTGAATATATTCCTGAACTATACATATCAGGTCACAATATCATGGAGAAATATTGATTGAACAGGGCTTAAAGTTTTAACTGTTCAACCTTGGAAAGAAGGAGCAGATTGCCTACAAAATAACTTATCATTATATGGAACAATCAGTGGATGATATCATTGGAAGGATTTTGAGCAGACAGTTCTTCAAGAATGTCCCGATACAATTGGTTACTAGTGCTTGCCAACACTGTGTCAATGTAGTCCAGAAACGATACAATTGGTTACTAGTGCTTGCCAACACTGTGTCAATGTAGTCCAGAAACGATACAATTGGTTACTAGTGCTTGCCAACACTGTGTCAATGTAGTCCAGAGAAACATGGTACTAAAGTATTCATGTGATGTGTATAAACCCACCGTACTTACATCTAGTGGCTGTTATGTGTGATATAACCTACTGTACATATGAGATAAGTTCACCACAATGCAGGAGTACTTCCTGTCAATACTTATGGTCAGCTACTCTCAATCTGAAATGCAATATTGGTCAAAGAAGAGGACAAAACGTATCAGTTTTGACAGACCATGTGCCTTTAAAGGTGGATAAGTTTTTTATGCTGGGTAGTTTGAGTCACTGTTAAATGTGTGCAAGCTGAAACATGTTTGCATGTTTCAATTATATACATGTATAAATATTGTCCTTAAGTGATCTAGTAATAAGAAGAGAAATTAAGTTACTAGTACCTGAAATTATGAGCTTTTCATTATTGCTACATTTTGTGGATCCATTGTATTTGGACCCAGACAGGCCATCCATGAGGTCAGCCCTTGATTTGAGAGTGCAGCAGGGTTTCACCAACTTACTGGTTTACCCAACCTGGATCTGATACTACCAACTCTCTATGGTAAGTACACATGCATGCACGTTGTCATATGAACGATGTTCTCAAGTACGACGTTAAGCCCCATTTCACCTCACCTCACCTCTATAGTAAAACAAATGTCACTGCCTCAATGTTTGTTATTCATATCTCTCTAGCAGTGTTCAGTACAACCTCAGTATGGATCTTCATCAGGTATGTGGAATAGGTCACATAAATACATAATCTCACTCTGCCCATCTTAGTATTAAGAGATTCACCAGCATTGACCATTTTGACCAGGGAGGGGTTGTACAAGGCAAACTTAGCACTAAGGTGATCACAACTACCAAACATCAATATAGACTTATGATAGTCTTCAAGTGCTAAGGTCATATTGTACAACGGCACCCAGATCTCTTGATACTGACAGCATTGGTAGGTTTTCTCAAGTATTGTGATCTTCTAATCATCTTTATATATTTATGTTTCTTTTTCAAGAATTACTTCCTAATGTCAGAGTATGAAACTCCCACATTTTTCAGCCAGACCACAGGGCTGGTTATATGTAAATGTTGCCAGCCCTGATCAAAACTTACCTGCCCACAAAATAGCTTCATGTACATATCTAAATTTTAACCCGACTGTCTGGCAGGTGAATTTGAGAATCTGTCAGTCCGTGTTGATAATGAGTTGGGCAGGCAGGACCATTTCAAACGCTGCTAATGTATTTCTCATCAAGCCATGAGGTGCCCTGGTTTAGCCCTAAGGTCCCTGGTCTCATGATGTTGCTGACTAGAACAAGAATAGAAGCTAGCAGTATCTGATAGTTACTGTTGGCATTAACAGCATTAAAACCACTTTGTTACGTCTTTTCTTAAGCTCTCCCATGTATAGGGTGCATGGTGGGTCTGACAGGGCCATAATTGTATTAACCACAAGTTTCCGTGTTGATGATGATGATGATGATGATGATGATGATGATGATGATGATGATGATCATGATGATTGCAGCTGTAAAAGGATTTTAGAGCAGTGAGGCAACTGGCTGCATATTTATGCCTATGCTTACTGTTATTTCCTTTTTGAGCCAATAGGTGAAAATTAACTTGGAGGTAAAATGCTCTTTGTCGTTTTTGCTCATTAAAGAGATTGTAAATAATGTAATTCTGTATGAATTTCCTTCCAATTAGATAGGAAGTAAGTATTAACAATATTTCGTCCTCAGATAATCAATACATGAAGTATGAGTGACCTTGACAGCAAGGTTATGTACAAAAGTAATCAGTGTG